TCCCTATTAGAAATATAACTTTTGGAACGACGACTACTACGTACGCTACCTCTTTCCTCCAAAGCGGCAATTTGTGCTTCTTTTCGTAGTTCTAAAGCAGCGCGCTCTCGTTCCAATACGATACGCTCACGTTCGAGGGTAGCCCGCTCCAAGATTGCTATTTTTTGGGCATAGTCTGCTTCAATTTCTAGAGTACGACTTCTTATGGTAGCTGAAGAACCTGAAACAGAACTAGCCGCGCTGTTGGGAACTCCAACGGTTTTAGCGATTACACTCGACGAGGGAATGCCAGGGCTTCCGTGATGTACGGTAGAAGACTGGCCCTGTTCCACATCAGATGCACTCGTTTTTTTTGTTGAACGTGTCTTTACCATTGTCTTTGTTGGCGAGAGGACCAATATTTTAATTATTTATGTTTCTAAGGACTGTATATATTTTATATTATATTTTTAATTACAAGAGAAACTACGGTCGCTGATGGTAAAAGACATATATTTCAAAGTGACAATAAAAATCGAACGAAACATAAAATATTTAAATATATATATAAAAAAATATAATTATCATATAAAAAGGTGCGTTATGCACACATAGCATATAAAGTTCATAAATTTACTTAATACCAAGAATACTCAAGGAATTAAGAATTAGATATTTGTGAATAAGAGCTGGGCTCTAATATGATTGATTATATGTAAATTAGAATTACTTGCATGGCGAAGTAATCTTTATATTGATGAGATATTATAAGCGAGAACTATAAGTCCCATATCTGAAAATAAATGTCTGGATGCTCCACATAAAGAATCAACCAGAAGGTAATGTTTAGTTTGTAGAAGGACTGCATGTCCTGATATAGTAATCAGTAGAATTTGATTAATCACATAGTGAAATAATCATAATAATATAAATAATAGTGACAGAGGTCTGTGACCTGGATGATTGTTATGTATAGACAACCACTAGGTGGATAGTCGATATGATAGAGGACCGGAGTCCTGGATATAAAAGCCAAGGCTTGGTAATTGATAAAATGTTTAGCCATAAAATGGATAGTCATAAAATATATTTTCATTGAGGGCCGAAGCCCATAGATGTGATTATGTGTATGTATTTATATTTATATATGTATGTATATATACACATATAATATGTATATATAAATTAAAGGACTAAGAGTCCTAATATTATTATACTGAATATTTACGCTCAAGTAATTAGTATTTATTATTAAGGCCAAAGACCTTAAAATAAACCTTTATTTTATTGAATTGACTGGAACAAGAAGAATAATAATAAATATATTAATTGATAAAGAGCCGGAGTTCCATAAGAATTGATTGTAGAATAAAATTGTAATATTATTATTACCGATATCTATATGTATATGGTTGGTCTTGTATTTCAATATATTCAAAATTATATAATAATTTTGATAATGCATCGCCCACATGAATCCGATTGCCCAATGGGTGATTGATAGGAATGACTGGAGATGTTAAGATCCCATGTCTTATTTATAGTTAGTTTATATATTATTACATTGTAGTTTTATTAAATAAGAAACAATATAGTCTTATTATAATACTGGCTTAATTAGCAATTATACTTTTATATGTACATGTTTATTAAACCCACTAGTTATGATGACGATTAGCCTTCATACCGGCCACTGATGATTCAGGGAGAGAACCACAAGTGGTGCCCGAGACTTGTGACTCGGGTGTAGGTTTAAAGAGCTCTTTTAGAATGCATTAACACTCACCTTCACTACTTCTGGAAACCTCCCAGAATTCATCTAATAAACCTCCCAATGCCTACAATATTCACAGTTACATATATATTAATGTAATCTCTTACAACCCTAATTATTAATTTATGCTATTCATATAAAATATATTTAACATAAAGGTTGTTACAAAATTAAGTGCATATACACTTAATATTACTAATCTCAATGTGGTGATCTAATAAATGCATTCTTATACTTCAATATAATAATTCTATATTATAATTTAGCAATTCCTTTATTTATGAAATGCAAGATATATCTATAAGGAAGTCATAGTGAACCGCATTGCTATTGCTTCTGCTGGTTAATATAATTATATTCAATGGTTAATTCGTCTATTAATTACTTATTTAATTTGTGCAGTGTATAATAAGTTGTAATATAATAAATATAATGCGTCCTAAACTTTACTCACACAATGCTGCATATCCAGAGTAGCAATATATCTATATATTGATACACCAGCCATACAACATGCATACGATAAAACTTAGGGTGTGTCCTAGATAACCACTCAGTTATCAACTAAACAGAAATCCCTATTGGTTGTAGAAATCTCCACAGGGATCGTGGTCTAAAACCTTCATTACGAGCTTTGACCCATCTCTCCTCAAATGATGGAACATGTGACTTCATCATAAATTCATCGATCTGAGCCTCTCTCTCCCTCCTGATGAAAAACTTCCACAACCTATTTATTATAACTTCATTTACTTGCTAAAGTCTCCATAGAGATTTACGGTTCACATTTGATCATCATAAATTATTGGAAAATGTTACTTCAATAGTTTATTCATCGATACAAACATTTGCCTCCTTCTAATAAAGCCTTCAGCAAAAATATATATAAGACTCAAGGATCTTCCTCTCACTACATCTTCCGTGTAATGTAATACATATTCGAAATAGTAAACGTAATTTACTATCCCAAACAAGGAACACCACACAGCAAGACATTTAGTGTGAATAATGAAATATTTGAAATAAGTAATAAATAGTTGAAATAAGTGAATGAAATATTTATTTTTGATAAGTAACTGAACTATTATTAGCCATCATTATAAGTATAATAGGGTTTTACTATAACTTCCTTAATTTACTTTTAGTTTAGTCGTAGTAAATTTATTATTAATATAATTCTCATATAAAATATCAGAGTTATCAACAACTGTTAAAAAACAGAATTACATTCATTAGCATCTAACGAGTAAATATACACATTTAATATTAAACTCCTAACCTTTTAACCTAACTAAAGAAAATAAATCAATATAACTCAGATTTAGGTACAAATTGAGACTATTATCGTAATATAAGAAAGACACAAATAAACCATGCTCGTTAAATTTTATATTATAAGTAATTAAACTAAATCAATGTATTCGTCAACATATTAATTCCACGCAAATCATAAAATAAATAAACACATGTACATTTCCTAATTAACTTGGCAGTTTATCTAACATATCCCAATAATACAGTCAAATGAAAACAGACATACAGTATATTATGAGCACAATAAATAAAGTGAAAGAATTAAAATGACTTACCAATATGTTGACAAGAACGGATATTAAAGTATTAAAATCACTTACTAAAATCTCCTCATTTACGAATAGTAAAAAAGTTAAATATACACTTGTTACTCCTACGGAAGCTCGCCGACGACTAACCTTTCTTTTGATTCTTCATCCTTCCTAACAACCTTCTATCGACTTTGTTTTTGCCAAATATATATATCTAAACATAACTCAACGTGAGAACTTCGTTCTTAGGCATTTCACACTAATTATACAGGATGATTTTTAAATTTATTTTGTAACACTTTTCTTTATCCTAAATTTTATTTTGTTTTACAAATATTTTTCTTATATAAAATATAAACAACCATTTACCGAGTTTACATAATATATTTACTTGTTTATTAATTTAATGCTGATATAACATTATAATAAATCGCAAACACATATATAATATGTAATTAATATTAAAGTCTGTAATAAAAATAAAAATGTAATTTATAATTTACTTAATAAATCATTATAATTAGATAAACGTTAGTATTCATATATAACCGCTCATTCTGTTGATACTATTATTTTACATACTGTGTTTTTATGAAATTCTAATAAATTCCTTTCTATTATCAAAACCTGAACTAATGTTTCAATACAATTAATTCCTTAGAAGTCGTTTTCTATTTATCTATTTAAATCATGATCTCTTACAACGTAGTAAATTGGAACATCCTATGCATGCATGTCGGCTTTCTTTTGTTAAACACAAAGGATGCCGTTCTATTGTCCTATTTGCTAGTAAATATGTTTACAGAAAAATATTTAACAGTTCTTAATAGTTTTGTTTTTAACACACGTGTAATATCTGTAGATAGTGTGTTTGTCGGCCTTCTTTTTGACGAACACAAAAGGATGCCGCCCTATTGTCTTTTCTGCTAGTAACCATGTTTACATATATGCATTTAACAATTTTTAATGGCTTTATTTTGATACACATGTTATACCTATAGATAGTTATAGCGAACTATCCTTTTTCTGGTGTTGAAAGCTAAATACACAATATTGATTTTATTTAATATTTTGTACTATTTTACATATAACTTATTTTATGTATTTTATTTATCAAATAAGACGATGCTTCTACTACAATTATTTTGTCAATTAAATAACGGAATATATGCTAATTTATTCTATGTTTAGTTATCAAATACAATTTTTGAAGTGAATATTTTTAATATGTACATTTTTATTGTTATTTCCTTTTATCGCCCATTTTATGCAAAATATGACGTTAAAACTAAAATGAGTACTAGGCGAACCGTCACAATGTCATATGTTGAGTTTAACAACGTCTCTGATTCCCCATCTTTTATTACAAGCATGAAAATATTCATATATTTGTACTTATAATAATAATAAGGTTAGACAATTTACACAGTGCACCTAGTCTCAAGCTAAACAGTTGCACTTTTTGGTAAATACATACGTAATATTCATATAAAACACCCACACCAATAGAAACAATTATACTCATAAATACAAATGTTTGTCTTTATACCGTACGAGGGATCGTACCCGCGACCATCGGAAATAAACCGGTGTGCTAAATCGCTGGACAACCTAGAGTGTATTTATAACGAAATTTCCAAAGTATAAATGTAATAATTAAAAATAATATTTTCCTCTTGCAGTATTCAAACGCTTTGACATCAATCAACAGTCATCAACGGCGCCTAATTTTGGATTTTCCAAGGTCAGTAACTTGCCCGTAATTATCTTACTAAGTTTCAACTCTATCAACAATGCAGTTCAAGATTCTTATGATTCCCACGCCATAATTCCAGTTTTACAAATTCTCATTTCTTATACATCTTTTGTCTCGTTCGTGCTAATGGTTATATTGTGTTTTGGAAAGAGACACAGATAGATTGCTCCTAATCAGTGGTTGGGTAAGGTCGTATTAAAGGGGTGTGGTATGTGGAAACCCCTTATTAAGTTTAATTCAAAGGGTTTTAATCATAAGTTGGAAGCGATTTTTCATATTCACCTCTAATTATTATTTATTGTGCTATTTTTCTATTAGAATAATTTACGTAAAATATATTTATTCGTGTTTCATTAGTGTTTATTTTTATATATTATTATAAAATGTAGTTTATATCACTTTTGAATAATGTAGTAGTTCATGAGTTCATTTTGATTTTCATACTGAGCAGTATATTAATAAATATATAACCATAGAGATATTGAGTAGCACCATGTAGTCCAAAACAAAGCTTGTACCAAACAATTCTTATATACAAGTTTTTTATAGATATGTAATATATATAACTAGGGAAAATTCACACAACGCCATCTAGTCCCAAGCTAAGCAGAGCTTGTGTTATGGGTACTAGACAACTGATATAAATACATGGATACATTTTTTTTAAATAAATACATATTATACATAGAAAACACCCAGACCGATACAAACAATCATACTCATGATTACAAATGTTTGTAACGTGCGAGGAATCGAACCCACGACCATCGGATAGTAAAGCGGTGTGCTAAACCACTAGACCACCGAGGCTGTCAACATTTAGGAGCATAAGCACTGGCTGAATGCTTTCACTCTGTATTTCTTATATTCTATGATACGGTGTATTAAAATGTATTTGAATCAATCTAGTCGTTTAACAGGGTTGAGTAACAATCATTAAAATTCCCAAACATCTAATAATAATAAGTAACCCTAGACAATTAACATAACCCCACCTAGTCCCACGGTAAGCAAAGCTTGTGTTGTTGTTACTAAACAACTGATATATTTTTTTCTTATAAATACATACATAGACCAATACAAACAATCATACTCATGTTTGCACCTTGCGAGAAATCGAACCCTTGATCCCCTTGATCGAAGGTAAAACGGTGTGCTAAACCGCTATACCACCGAGGCATATAACATACAATTTTCAAAGTTTCACATTATACTAATAGCGGGAATATTAAACGTTGTAGATTGAAGATAAAATAAATTCATGTTGTTAACAGGCACTCAACGGGTTTCTAATGATGATGACACAAAATGGGAAACTGTTGTACATATCAGACAACGCTGCTGAATATCTTGGACATTCTATGGTAAGTGCAATTATAATTATAAAATATTTAATTGACCTTAAATAAAATAATTAATTTACGTATAATTAGGAAAAATCACGGGATCTTATACGTTTTATTTATTTTTATTGATAGGGAGCTCAATATAAGTATGAATAATGAGCGCATAAAATTTAAAACAATAATTAATGAATTATGTTAAAGTATTAAAAGAAAGTATTATTTAATAAAATGCTTAATTGGTTATATAAGTTTTTTTTTGTAATTGTGTAATTAATTATATATGTCCACAATAAAGTTAACGCCAATTTCATTTATAATATAATTATATTAAATACTAATTCTACATATTATGTGCTCCATAAGTTACAGAGAAGTTATTGTAAATTCTAGAACTAACACCTATTATCACCAGGTATAACGCAAACTTTGCCATCTATTGTAGTTATTTTTTACTATTGATTAAATAATATTATATGTATGTATGTGTACTTCATTGTTATAGTACTGTGTATATGACGTATATGACAATAACACGTGAATGTGAATCCAATAGCAAAAAGCATCCTATCTAACCCTAAATGCTTTCTCGATATTTGATTCTATGATTTCAAATTATATATATAATTAATTTAGTAATAATATATTTAATATTATATTTAATTAATAAATGCTTAACAAGATAAAATTTATATACCTGTAAAATAGTCTAAATATTATATATCACATAAGTTATATTATTTTGGTATCTGGTACCCTTTTTATACCTATGATTACAAGTCAATCATAGGCAATATTGTGCAAATGCTTTTACAAACCACAGATCTAAAACAGATTCTCCATCTTATAGGATCTGTATAGATCACATCTCAACAACACGCCGGTGGGTCCAAGAGCAAAACGCACCGTATCTGACCCCAAATAGTTCCTCGTTAGCGGGCGTCCGCGCCGGTAAATTAATCACCATGTTTTATTGTTCGGTGCGCCCGCGCCGGCCGCCGCCGTCGCCGCGCCTTTTGTAAACTATAGCACTGTATAGGCTGCTCTTTTATTAGATTGCCAGTCATGTCAATGCGATATAAGGAAGTTGATTTTTTTAATACTTTTTTAATGAACGAACGGAACGTAAAATAACTAGGACGTCCTCCAGCTACATGGTGGACCAGAATGAGTAATTAAGATGATTTCCATGGATGCGACGGAAAAGTTTCCCGACTCCAGGGCAGATTGTCTTGGCGCCGCAAAATTAAGAGATCCGATTCCACATAAAATGGGTTTTTTTTTAATGCGGTACTTTATTTCGGTCGATATTAAATTTGTTCATCAAACTTAATATCATCTTAATTATGCCATTCTATTCCACTGGACATAGACCTATTAAATTTACAAAACTCATGTTAAATAATCACGGAATTGGCTTTTTTTCTCCAATAATTTTATTAATACATTGTTATGATTTAAATGACTCAATCACAAATGTAGCTTTTTACATAATAATTAAAAATCTGGCTAATTTTCTATATCTTATGTACCCGTCATCCAATTTGTTTTAAGTTTTCGTAGGAACTATATTACTTAAATGAATTTTATCTACAACATGACATAGCTATTGATAAATAATTTATTGTATCTGTATAATTTCAAGTAAATGAAATTATAACATAAAAAAAATCAAGCTGTATATATTATGTTTTTGGCGGTGTCGGTCCGTGTGAAACGAAGCTACCACCAATGTACACCTAATGATAGCCAGTCAATATATTCAAATTGTGATTAATAACCACGCCACAATGTTGGCACAATGGTCTATCAGAATTGGACTAGCTTAAGGTGATGAATCAACGCATATTATATATCACTAGCTGCTTCCCGTGACCTCGTCTGCTTATTTTGAGATGAATTATAGCTTATATGCAATGGTTTTATGAAGATGGTCATATTAAATTTCATTAAAATTAATATTTTCATAACAATGGATAATAATATAATGAATTTATGTACATACAGAATACGTATTTCTTCAGGGTAAATGCGACGCACTCGCAAACAGCCTGTCGCCACCCATTGACATTAAAATATACATTTTTTATTTTTCGTCCAGCAGTTAAAAGTTACAAACAGACAGACTGTGACACACTTTCGCAATTGTAATATTAATGTAGATTTAACATATAAATATTTCAGTATTGACAAAATTAGCGTATGATCATCGTAGATCATTAGCTTATGATCTACGATGATCATACTCTAATCTAAATATATATAACTCAAAGGTGACTGACATCGTGATCTATCATAAAATTTGGCATGCAAGTAGATGTTATGACGTAGGCATCCGCTAAGAAAGGATTTTGTTTAATTCTACCCCCAAGGGGATAAAATAGGGGATGAAAGTTTGTATGAAACTTTATCAATTTTAAACCGATCGGGCTGAGACCTTGAAAGCATAAAGCTACTACGACGTAGGCATCCCCTAAGATAGGATTTTGATAAATTTCACCACAAGGGGATAAATTAACGAGCGAAGCCGCGGGCAAAAGCTAGTTTTGAATAAAATTGACCATGAAAATCATTTTGCGATTAATCTACAATCATGATCAAATTGATATATAAGTTTTGTAGAATGCTAAATTATCCTTTCTAATAAAAAAAATTAAAAACAATTTAAAAACGGCGAAACTATAAAAATACAACACAATTTAGTACCGTTTTAAAATTAAGTTTATCAAAGTTTACATCAAAATTCTACAAATCAAAACACAACTACATTTAAACAGCACCGCTATTACTCGTATATTAATCTCTGATATGTATCTGCCACAATTAAGAATAAATGAGTAGCATTATCGTCAATCGGCCTCTTAATCTTATCTCGCGTACTTTGTTTTACTTGGTTTCCACTCAATCGCACAGCTGATTCTGTTTTGATTGGCCGCCCGCAAGCGTTGTCAGATGTCAATAAGATAGGCCAGTCACTAACGAACTAAATGTCATGCTATCTATATGTACCGATTGAAAAAAAAAGCAAATGCAAACGTCAATCAAAAATGTAGTAGCTGATTGATTCGATTCATTTACTAATCGATATTGTATAACACGGAAGTTAACTTCTTGTGAAAGATTTACTTATGTATAAACGAATATTCAATTATAAATTAACATTTTCAAAGAGAATAAAATTCATAGGAGAGTGTTGAGGCTCAATGGTTTACTACCTTATATTTCGCTCAATAAATCTGGCCAATATCAAAAAGATTACTTTGTGTAACAACTTATATTTCTGACTCCAGTTAAGGAAACACTGATATAAAACTAAAAATTATTGTGAGTGAAGGCTGTGCTGCCATCCCCTATCATGTTAGATTAAAAATATGACGAGCGAAACGTGGGCATGTCAAGTGTTGCGTTCACTACAACATCGAGAAGAGACAATGCCTCTGACTACCCCATCTGGTATAACAGGCGTGACGGTATGTTGTATATTATTAATATGTTCTTGCAGAAGAAATAATTTCGGACATTATCAACAGTCAACGTCGTGGACTCAACTCTTACTATGCCCACAATTCGCTGGTTACATTTTATTTCGTGTGTGTAAATATCAAACTGGACAAGCCTACTGCATCGTTGGCCTAAATATTTTTTCTGTCAGCTAGGCCAGCTCAGAACCTTTAAGATCTAAGTTCCTTTACGAATCAGGTAAAGCTTTCATACTACAAAAACTCTTTACAACTGATAAAAACTATTTTTTTTATGAGATTGATTGGAGATTAGTCGGGAGGTGGTAATAATCACAATTTTCATTTTCCGACCCATATTGCAACGCCTCCTAATATCAATATTGTTAGTGACGTAACACATTCGTATAGTTATGTGAATAAAATCAAACCAATAGTCTACATTTTTAGATGAGGAGTTAAAATAAGTCTCTACTCCTCTTCGATTAATCATTTCAATGATATCGTTAATTATGCAACACTAAAAGTTAAACAAAAAAACTATCGGCATTTAGTATTAATTAATCCAATAGAAGAACATAAACGCTATACAATAAGGCTGCAGTCGTAAACATCGGTGTCGCAGTGGGCCTCACTGCCCGCGATATTTATGTTCGCAACACTGTTGCAGGACCCTTTTGCAAAATGTATACTGACCCTTAAATTACCCAGATCACTGTATAATCAACAAGTCCTATATACTACATGATTGATTCGCGTCGTTACAGTGTCTATCTAAGTACATTACGACAGTAAATTGCGTATTATATAATAGTAAGCATCGTGGTATACTCTACAAAACCGAGGTCGATATTCCCATAATGGCCAACATCAAAATAAAATATGTACTCACAAATTAAATTTGTAAATAATAAGTCTACAGTCTCTATAACAACTTAATAAAAACTAATTATATTGGATTTAATTACATTGACATTTGTTTCCTAAAAATATTAATGATATATTTAAATTTGGAATATATTTTATTTACGAATTTTTGTCAATTTTGACTCTTCTATTATTCCATTGAAATATTAAATTTGCCTTCCTTATTATAATTAATTAATTAATTAATTTCGCGATACAATTATTTAATAAAGCGATAGAATAATATTTTAAGTTAGGTAATTAATTTAACTATTGTTATTTTTTTAAAGTATTTATTTCGATACAAATATACATGCGATTTTACTGAACATAACCTATTATAGCTGAATAGAATATACTTACATTGTTTCACTATGTCCATAATTATGATTCATGTTACCACAGTCATACAAATTATATTCAGTATCTCTTCTATGTACCACATAATACATAGGTAATCATGATACCCATTTCCATAAATATGGTCTTCACAACATTGTGTAGCTATGAGTATATACTTACAATTGATACTTGTCGAGGTCAAATCGTCAATTTATCAAGACTAGCATTGTAGCAAATCTTGAGAACTACCAAACTTTGCTCACGGGTTTTACTTCTAAAAATATTTATACTTTCCATTTATTTATTAATTCATAA